GTCAAATTATGCCACAACATCACGTGATTGAAAGAATTGTTCAGTGTTAAAACATGCCACTACCCCCTACACCTCTGTTATTTTACGTGACGGACAGAGAATACTTTTACTTTTTACGTGTACTTCAAGTTTCAAAAAGTAATTTTAAACTTTTCATTTTTACTCAAGTAGGTTTTATAACAAACATACATGCAGGGAGGTGAGTCAGGGATTGGACGCGATTCACATGCCATTTCGGTAAAAAGTACTGAAGTCAGAATTTACTCATTTTAGTACATAATTTCTTGTTTGTATAACGAATATTTTAGCCGCCAACATACTACGCGAACAAACAAACGCTTAAATTGAAGCTAAAAAATTCTCTACAATATTCCCTTATTCTTGAAAAGAGAAAATGCACACACTCTGCGAAAAATATTGCCATTAGTGAACCTGCCCGTGCCGAACAAATTTCGGCGGCCATCTTTCTTCTCTTCCACCTTGAATACAGAATATTCCATTTTCATCAAACAAAATAAAAAATAATGATTACAAAACAATTAAAAACAGTTAATAATTATTTTTTTATTTAAATCTTCGTCGGAAATTTGTTCAAATGGCTTCATAATGGCCGCCGCCAAAAAATCGATCTCGAACCCACCTCCTAAACATACGTGAGCTGGGTACGGTTCGAGATTGAACGTACCTCCTCGTAGCCAATAGGAAAGCCGCTAATGCGCTAGGTATGAGATAACAATTTTTCCTTTTACTCAAGTACCAAACCAAAGTAATTTAGTCACTGCTGCATGGTGGGAAAGAAGATGTACTAATAATATACTGGGAAATTACTGTAACCACATAATAAATAAAGCTCATGCAATTTAAATTGTCACAGAGATAACTTTAACAAATTTTGTTAACAAGCAATGCCCGATTGTTGGCGTGATGATTGGTTGATCAAATACAATGGAAATGATCTTTCTCAAGTCATTCTTTAATTATTTGTGCACACAAAATCACATCAAGATCCTCGTACACAAGGAAAGAACTCATGTAATGGCTTCCGAAGTCACTTTCAAATTCTAGACTATTCTTTTATTGAATTTTTGTTTCTAAATCAGGATTATCATTGCTCATGCTGAATGCAACCCTTGCAGCTATATTCTGAAATGTAAAGTCCATTAGTAAGTTTTATACCCAATTGGCATAGTTAAAACGGTATTCTTTTACTTGTACATATTTTGACTTTGCGTTTATCCGCTTATAAAACTGGTAAAATTTAGACATCTTATATACATAGAATAATGTCCGAATAAACAAACTTATATCTCAATAAACAAAACAACCAGGTCCAAGTCCAAACAGTAACTTGTGCTGTGATTATGTACAATTAAATTATTATACCAAACTCTGTTAGAAAATTTTTATGCACAGGAGTTAAATGTGCTTCAATAGACAGTACATAGTTAACTTTTGAAGTGTCGTAAAGAGAAGAAACGCTTATATGAGATTTCCTGTCAGTTATGTGATACCATAACCTGTATTTAAGTAAGTCGAGTCAGCGTGTTTATTAACTTCCCCAACGACTCGTAAGAGTTATTTGAAAGCAAATTTTTCATGATATTTACCATTTTACTTTTTGTTACTAAATACGTGACGTTTTGCGCGGGTAAACATACAATTTTTTAACAGCTTTTCAAATAAGATTTGCGCGCTGCAAGACAATTTTTCTTTCCACAAACAACTCTAACAATTTGATGAATTCGGTCGTTGAAATGGTGTACATAGCTACATTATAGCTGTGTAAAGGCTGGTTTAAGGCCTGATCCCACGAGCGCATTTCCTCGATTTAATATTCTCGCGAAATTGGTTCCATTGAATTTTACTTCTTTTTTTCCTTTCACAGTGAGTATAACTGATCTTTGCTTATCCAGTCATGGCAAAGCGACTTTTTTTTCTCGCGAAGCAAATATGGCCCCTACTGCCCACGCTGTCAGATTCACTTTTCACACGTGAGGCCGGTGGAGTCTGGCCTTTACACTGTCAACGTTTTTGTGCTCACTGCATGCAGTATATTTTTATTAACGAAGTTTGTACCAGTAACACCCTTCAAAGACACAAATTAACTTTAAAAGTATTTAAGAGTGAATGTCAGTAAAAATCGAACATATGAGATATTTCGCGGCCACGACTGAAAAATCGATTTTGCTCAAATTTTGCCCAGATATACCTTATTATATCGGAAAATGCACCATATATTTTTTTAGGTCAAATGCTTTTTTAACTTTGAGAAAATACCGTTTTAACACGACCACCCTAAATCGCCATTTTGTCTGGTAAAATATGCGCTGATTTTACCGACAAATTTCACGACGACAACCGTTTATAATCGATCTAAAACCCTGAAAATCTTGTTTTCGGTTATTCAAAGGACCGGGTACGTGACTTACAAGAAATCTGAGTTACTTTTAGGAATAGAAATAATCGTAGTTTTGGAGCACACTATCTTATTTCATTTACGATACCCTCTTAACAAAATCGATTTTCACTATGGGATAAAGCTCCAAATCGATCATGCTTCTACTAGTTGGCTCTTTAATAAACAAGCTTTCAATTGACGTAAACACTTCTTTGGGCAAATGAATACGCGATAAACGACAGCGGGCTGAAATCGTCCGTTTTTGACGTCTTGCAAGCAAACGCTGTTAATTTACATACCGTCGAAGTAAACAATTTAATCACGTATTCTAAGTATTTTACCTTTTGAGAAGAAGATATATTCTTGAATGGAGACTTTTGGCCATGCTAAGTTTAAAATTGGTCCAAAAATCCTGATATATTTGTAAAATATCATCATATACAGGTATTTTGAGATATAATATTGTTGTCAGTTACATAATAACTTCAGATCACTGTTCAATATTGTCTACTTTTAATAGCGCTAACATACAAATCGATGAGCTGTTTAGGGATTATATTTGCTACTAAATTTCCCAAAAATTAGAACTTCAGTTGTTGTTTTGTTCCAGTTTGATCCATATAATGTACCATTTTACATATCGACTATGCTATCGAGTATAAATGTTTACGAATACATAAGTTAATTATTAAGCAGCTGTTAATAGCGTGCGTGTGAAATGAACATTAATCCATACAAGGTTTGTTATTTTATTACGTATTCTACCACCTCAAACTCAAATTATAGCAAATAGTTTAGAATAACTATTTTAATGTGTGTTCACTTTGATGCTCGGTTAAAATAATCAGTAAAATTACTTTCTTTTGATACACTATTGTTTATTGATCTTATTATATTCCACAAGTACTAGACTACTAGTAACCCAAAAATACAGCATTGAGATATGTTACCCCAGTGCGACACCAGAAATTATTATTGTCTCCCCACACGTCGCGTTTAAAAAAAATGGAAGCTTGTTGCTCGTTTAACGCCGGATTAACCATGTGTCAGATGCGGCAAATGCCACGGGCCTCGCGCTTATGGGCAGTGCTTCCACTTTGGCAAAGCAAAATTTCTCGTTTTTGTCCTTTTTTTCGCAAAATGTCCTTCCCAAAATCCTAAATTTCCTTCCATTTTTCCTTCCAATCTCAGTTTAAAATAGTATAGAAAATTTTGTATTGTACTTTATTCCGATGTAAATTGAAGGTGTACTGCAGTATTCAAATAGTGAAACTCTAATTTAACCTGAAACAACATGTTAATCTGTTGTCTCATTTTTTGTCTGTTTTCTCGAACGACATAGTAAAACGACTTTTTTATGAATTTGCTTTTGGACCAGACACTATTCCTGCACGCTTTCTACTCCGTTTGCATTTGAAAACTACTTGATGTCGACTCAATGACTAAATATGAGCCATCATAATTTATAAATTACTTTTTTTGGCTTAGAAATTACAGTTTCCCTTTTTCCGATTGTTTGTTTTTAATTTTGGGTTATAAAAATTAAAAACCCGCTGAAAGATTGAGCCCCCGTTATTTATATACAAGTACTCTACTCATTCACTGAAGATCTGTTAAGTCCCAAATTAGCCCCATTCATCCTTGATGGTTATGTAAATATCCAAAGTATTGTTTTTATAAATGTTTTTGAACTGAAAAGTTCATAATAAAGTGTTTAACCATTATTAAATTACTAGAAATTACTGAAAAAGTTAAAATTGTAAAATTTCCTTCCCTTTTCCTTCAAAATGTCCGAATTTCCTTCCAATTTCCTTCCAATTTCATTCCAAATCTTATTTCCTTTTATTTTTCCTTCCAAATGTCAAAATATCCTTTTGGAAGGAAATTTCCTTCCGAGTGGAAGCTCTGCTTATGGGAGCATTGCGCTTTACTGTGTCACGCCCATTTTTACGAGAACACGGCCATTTTCTATTGGGACACACCCATTTTAGGTGCCTCGCGAATGTAGGGCCCCTAGGCTTGGAAGTTGGCCCCAGCACGGCCCCGGGAAGATATGCAATACTCGTGTGCATATAATCTCCAGTTGCGTTGAGCTGTTATATTATGATCCTGTTTATACATGTTGACCCAACAACTGGGCCAGGCAGGCCATTGTCTCGTTTATAATTGATGCTAATAAATTGAAATATTGAAAAAATTATTTAACAATTTTGTGTGTCTTTAAATTCAAAGGTTTTCATAACAAGGCGGAGAGTGGGGGGGGGGAGGGGGTTGGGGGCCTCGCGCTAAAATCTGCCACGAGCCTCGCGCGACGTTAATCCGGCCCTGGTCACTTGTCGGTAGTTCTTGTGGTTTTAATGCCAATTGCCAAAGAACGAAAGAGAGCACCGATGACTTCCCCCGTCGAAGAATTACTGGCGCAGCCCAGGCCAGCTCAGTGAAATATGGGGGCCCAGGGCCAATTATATCTTTGGGGCCCCGGTGAACCACAATAATTCCCCTCCCACCCCTCCGTCGACAAACTTTTTACCCCCTTGCAAATTTGTATTTGCCGGCCGTCCTTGAGCTGGGGTCGCGGAGAAAATTGCTCCCTTTGCCCCCCCCCCCCTGCAAGGGCGGCCCTGGCGCCACCCCTGTCTTATCATAACTATCTACTACAAATAATTTTTAAAGCCCTGGTCTTTTTCAAGTAGTTTTTTGTCCCGAAAAAGTAAAAGACTTAGAAATGGTGATTAAATTATTTACTACGGTATGTTATTTAATAACGAGCAAGGGTTATGGTAGGGATTTAAGTTATAAAGTTGGTGTTTGGAATAGGGTTAGTGTAAAGCTTTGTTACGTTTTGTCATTCTGAGGCCAGCGATATAACCTCTTACGCAACATGCATGCGTACGTGTCTACTATCGTCAAGAAACAATCAATATGTATAATCGTTGTGGTCTGTGGGATTTTAATGAGATTTAATGACCTTGCAGTTTTAACACACATTAGCCGAATTCATATTAGAGATGGGAAACTCGTATTAGACGCGGGAAACTCGTCTTAAATTCGAATTTATCTGTCCCTAAATTCATATTCAGACGGGTTTTCACAGACGAGTTTCCGTCTAAGACGAGTTTCGCGTCCCTAATATGAATTCGGCAATTCAAATATAAGGGCTGGTAAACTAAAAATAAAAACTCCTTATATTGATAAACATTATAAACGTTCATTTCATGTACACGCACGCTAACACCTGCTTAATAATTAACTTACGTCTTCGTAAACATTATAGTCGATACATAACTGGTACATTAATTTAATAATATGGACAAAATGGAACAAAACCTCTGAAAACAGCAGTTGTAGTTCTAATTATTTTGGTAAATTTAGTAACAAATATAATCCCTAAACAGCTCATCGATTTGTATGTTAGCGCTATTAAAAGTAGACAATATTGAACACTGATCTGAAGTTATCATGCAACTGACAACAATATTATATCTCAAAATACCGGTATATGATGATATTTCACAAATATATCGAGATTTCTGGACCAATTTTAAACTTAGCAAGGCAAAAAGTCTCCATTCAAGAATATATCTTCTTATCAAAAGGTAAAATACTTAAAATACTTGATTAAATTGTTTACTTCGACGTATGTAAATTAACAGCGTTTGCTTGCAAGACGTCAAAAACGGACGATTTCAGCGCGCTGTCGTTTATCGCGTATTCATTTGCCCAAAGAAGTATTTACGCCAATTGAAAGCTTGTTTATTAAAGAGCCAACTAGTAGAAGCATGATCGATTTGGAGCTTTATCCCATGGTGAAAATCGGTTTTGTTAAGAGGGTATCGTAAATGAGGTAAGATAGTGTGCTCCAAAACTACGATTATTTCTATTCCTAAAAGTAACTCAGATTTCTTGTAAGTCACGTACCCGGTCCTTTGAATAACCGAAAACAAGATTTTTAGGGTTTTAGATCGATTAGAAACGGTTGTCGTCGTGAAATTTGTCGGTAAAATCAGCGAATATTTTCCCAGACAAAATGGCGATTTAGGGTGGTCGTGTTAAAACGGCATTTTC